AAACAGACAAAACACCCCAAGCCATAGCATGGCAACTCGGACACTCACAGTGAGGCACAAAGGCTGGCTGACAAAACTGGAGTAACCCTGAGCCTCTAGCTGCGGTCTGGTGCCTGTACACCTACATATATATATGAGCAGTGAGCTAAAGCCCAGTGAATAACATAAAGCGTAAAGGGGTTTAGAATGAATGTCCTTACAGTAATGAAAACAGTTCATTTCAATCAGTCATTCAGTTGTTCAGTACAGTAAACAGTCATATGTGGTACATCCATTAGCATAACAGTAACAGTAGGTCTTAAAAACCGAACAGTAATGATGGCCATCAGTCAGTAAACAGTAGTGGTTCCACGAGGGAACCACAGAGATCTCTGTGACAGTAACAGTAACAGTTAAACCGTAGATACTAAGGATGCCACAGTACAGTTCAGAAATAAAAGGACATACATTCATTCAGTAAATATACCAGTCATAAACAGTTTCAGTTCCCCACCTACAACCACCACCACCACCCACCCGCCCCCCACCTGCCACCACCACCCACTCGCTATCACTTACCACCCGCCACCGTCACCCACCCCTGCATTCTGGTCAGTAAACACTAATAAATTTTCGAAACACCGAAGCGAGGGCGAAATTTACTTTAAGGAAATTGTGTTCAACATAAACCTCGACTTTAAATTTCTGTAAGTAATTAATTCAGAATATAATTTATCTAATTATTTTCTGAATTATTTAATTTTTGTTGTTCATTTTATTTACATTTTACACACACACACAACCATTGGAGGAATAACAGTATTTAGTTTATTGGGAGAAGAATGAAAAATATTTAAAGAGTATATATATATATATATATATTTAGAGGAAAATATTAAAAATATTTTCAAAACTCATAACCAAACACACAATTCAAAACTCAAAACTAAACTCTTTTTAAAACTCTATTTTAAAAAAAAATTCAAAAAATATATTTTTTATTTTATTTTTAAAATCATGATTTAAGTGTGGAGTCGTATTTTGAGTTATTAGTTTTGAGTTGAGTTTTGAAAAGAGAAAATTTGTTTGGTTATGAGTTTTAAAAAGAGTTTTGAGTCAAATTTTAAAAATTTTTAGATTTATTTTTTAAAATATTTAAAAAATTTCTTAATTTTATTTTTTTAGGATAAATATTTTATATTTTAGATATTTATTTATTTATTTTAATGTGTATTGTATTTCATATATTTGTGTGGTGTATTTTTTTTAATATTTTAAATATATTTTTAAATATCAAAAATTTAAAAAATATATTTTTTATTTTAAATAATATATAATTTTTATTTTAAATATTTTATAAATATATTTTTAAATATTTTAATTTTTTTATTATGTGTTTGGTTACGATTTGAATATAGAGTTTTGAAAGTAGTGTAGAGTGTCGAGTTATGTGTTTGGTTATGAGGTTTGAAAATAATTTTTAAATTGAGTTTTTAGTTATGTGTTTGGTTATGATTTGAGTGTGAAGTTGTGTTTTGAGTTTAAAATATTAAAATTTAAAAAATTAAAATATTTACAAAATAAAATAACATATTTAAATAAAAATTACATATTTAAAATAAAAATAAAATTTTAAAACATTTTTTAATATTTTTTAAAAAATAAATCCAAAAATACTGTTCCAAACACTGTTTGTTTCTTCCAAACCTATCATCAAATTCAAAAACATTTTTTAATATTTCAAAAGGAAGGGCAATAAGGTAATTTATTATAGAAAAAGTAACACCGTTTGGAACAATTTGACAGAAAAGAAAATGTTGACATTGTCAAGTAAAGTAAGGGAGGTTACTATAATTATTCAAATCACATGGGAAGTCCCTGTATTTGTCAAAAATATCAGGGGAAGTAAATGTAATTTACCCTTATTATTATTATTATTATTATGATAGTTGATTTGATAGTTGTGAGAAAAAAAATAAAATGATTATGATTTAATGTGATATTTTATTTTATTAACTATTTTAATTAAAAAAAAAAAAAACCAAAAAGCCTTACTTCCCATAAACGTCAACTCACTCTCTCTTTCATTTATTTTCTAATTATTAACAAATTTTCTTGTTGACAGCCTAGAAAATGGATCATGGATCTAGAAGTGGGCTCGTATGTTATTTTTCATAACAACAATGACAGAGACCATTAATTTTGGAGCTTTAAAAAGATCACTAATGACATAACACTCAATAAAAAAAAAAATACAACATCAAAGTCAAAACATCAAATCATTGATGGTGGGGCATACTGCCACATCATTAGTGATAGCACTAATTAGTGCTCCCACTCATTTTCCTTTTCATAAATATATATCATGTCAAATAGTGAATCCCATATATATATATATATACACACACAAAAATTATGGTGCATACCTTATAAGTAAAAAAAAATGATATAATTTTAATTTTTTGAATCATAACTAAAAAAAAGAAAAAATGTTATAACTGAACACAACATGAGACATAACTAAATAATTCATGCGTTATAATTAAAATAATGTCATAATTAAAAAAGAAAATTGATCATAATTAAAGAAGAAAATAGCGCAATTAAAGGTGCATATGGTATGAGGTGTGCATAATAGAATTTCACTATATATATAGAAAAATTCTATTATGCATATCATATCATATACCATATGAATATTTAGTTATGTCATTTTTTTCTTTAGTTATAACTAATTTTCGTTAGTTATAACATTATTTTGAGATTTTGATTTTGACTTTTTTGTATTTGATTATGATTTTTTTTTTTAAAAAAAAATTAGTTATAAGTTAAAAAGTATAAAATTATGTCATTTTATTGTTTAGTTATAACATGTACCATAGTCTTTTCTATATATAACCCATAATTTATCATTTAATTTATCGCTCTTAAAAATCACTCATAATGATACGTCTGACAAATGTTAAATTTTAATATATCAAATATTTTATTATGTTGGATCTAACTTCAATGTTACACAATTAGGGATCATTTAGTAGTGATAAATTAGTGGGACGTATATGAAATTTGGAAACATTTTGGGGCTAATTCGCAAAAACAATTTTTTTGAGTCCTATTTACTTAAAACCACAGATATATAAGCCTCGCTTTCATTTCTTTCCCATTGTGTTATCTGTATCACGGCAACCGACCCTCTCTCTCTCTCTCTCTCTCTATATATATATATATATATATTTCAGGTACTCGAAACCCTACCTCATCAGAACCCTAATTCCCTTCTTATATAGCGTGAATTCTCACTAATTTGATCAAACCTCTGATCTGTCAAACGTTTCTAGTCCTGTAAATTACATACCAATTTTTTAAATTCGCACAAAAAACAGAGAGAAGAGCAAAATCGAAGTCTCTATAACAATCCTTGGCATAAATGTTATCAGTGTTCGGAGTAAAATTTTGATCTTTTTTTTTGTTGTTATTTTTCAAAAATTTTACATTAATTGTTTGAAGCTTTTTTGGATTGGAAATAAAAGGTTTTGATTTGATTTGATTTGATTTATCTGAAAAACTGTGAAATTTCGCTATATAGGAGGGTCAGGTTTTGAAAGACATTTTCTGGGTTTTTGTGACGTGTTTGGAAGTGAAAGAGAAATGGTGGGTGGTGGAAATAGGAGGGATGAAGGGTCGTTGATGATTAACAATACCAACGTGTTTGCAGCGCTTGGGAAGAAGAAGAAGTCTGATAAGGATCGTGGGTCTTCGAAGAGTAAGGGTTCTTCGAAATCAAAATCGAAAGAGTCTGAGCCACAGGTTTTCTGGGCTCCAGCACCATTGACAGTGAAATCGTGGGCAGATGTTGATGATGAGGATGATGATGATTACTATGCCACCACTGCACCGCCTCAGTCGGTTTGGGGTTCGTCGGAATCTCAAGAGACTAAGGACAATCAAGCACATGTTGAGGTGTGTATATGAATGCTTTTCCACTCTTTATTCAATCAGATTATTGTAGTTTTGTGGTTATGCTATGAAATTCTGTTGCAACATTACAGTGCTGTATATTGTTTTTCGTTTCTTGGGATTTCATCTATTATTTGTATGATTTTGGTAGAATTGTAACATGAAGATTTTATTACATCATCTTCAGTTAGTGTTCTTATTAGTTGTTTTTGAGTACTCTTAGCTTGTGAAATGTTATGCACCATTCATTTAGCTGTGTTCAAGGTTCCAATTGCATCAATTTTAGGATGGTGTATTGATGGTATACTTGTGTTGTGTTGGTTGCCTCTTTCTTCCCTCTGTTGCTTAAAGGAGAACTGTGTTTGTGAGGAGGACACAAGTATTATAGATCCTCGCAATGGGGAGTGTGTAAAAGAATTGAAATCTTATAATAGTTTATTTGATACAATTATGTAAAGCTGCTGAAATTGATGTTAATTGGTTCATCAAAAGAAATTGATAGAGTAAACCTTCATTGAGTTAATGACCTTGGGCAATTTATGTTCAGAGGATGGGCTCTTAATTCGTTATTTTCCATTGAGACAAATGAAGCTTTAGTTTTGACAAAACAATAATTTCTTTATGAATGATTTTCTAGCCATAATATTTGAGGTTTGCACCATATTTGACAATGGTACTGTAGTTTCTATAGAATGATGATTGCTTGTTGAGGTAGAATCATTGGCTTGGGTTGGTTCTATCTCAATGCGTAGGTGATGTAGTCATAAAAGTTGGAAGCTGTTTTCACAATATTAAGAAGCAAGGTCCAAGAATGAAGATGGGGTAGAATTTCTGTTTGCATTCATGCTATCAATTGGAGACCATTCGGCAATTAATATTGTGATACTTGACTGAAACAAGCCTTCTGTGTAAAATTTTAGAATTTGTATCTGATGCAGATTTACCCTGTAATATAAATACACATGTACATATATTAATTATGACTTTTACTTCTTGATTAATAGTTCTATTCTCGTTTGTTTTGTTAAAGGTGTTTTGTTATCTTTTAATATTTTCTTGGTTTGGAAGAGATGGATCCACGTAGCGACCCTGAGTATTAAGGACATTGACTCGTTGAGTTGAGTAAAGTTTTCCTGGTTTTGAGCAGTTCAGGATTTATATGTTTTTTACTTGTGGCATTATATTAATAGCTGGTTTAAAAAAATGACGAGTCTTGGAAAACTATTGCTCAAATATGATGTCGAATTACAGGAAAGTGAAAGTGAAGAAGACATTCTTGATGAGGGTGATGAGGAGGCAGATGAAGAGCATGACCAAGAACCAGAAGGCCCAGTACAACCCAAGCCTGTGGTGAATAAGGCCTCTGAAGTTTCTTCAGCACCTAAAGAGGCAGAAAGGCAGCTTTCTAAGAAGGAAAAGAAGAAAAAGGAGCTTGCAGAACTCGAGGCTCTTTTGGCCGATTTTGGAGTTTCCCCAAATGTGGATAATGCCCAAGATGAGTCGCGAGGTAATTATGCAATCAGTTTTTGGCTCATAAAAATTTGATTTTCATCTCTAATTGTTTCAATTCTACAATTAGGACTAATATTTCTTGCAACCTAAAACTCGAGTTTGTTATAGCGTGAGGATTGAATCTTGTTGATATTCAATTATTCATATTTTCCCAAGTAGTAGTTCATCATCAAAGGGTGACTTATGCAATTAAAATTGAAGTCTCTCTCTCTCAACTCCAAAATCATGGTTGAAATTATAGTTTGTATAGTTGCACTATCATCACCTTTTCTTTGATTTTGAGCTTTAGATTAGTGATTATCATTCTTTGAAGACTGCTCTTCTGCAAATATTAGTGCCGAGTCCTTTGTCTTATGTTATGTGGACTTCATGTGTTCTATATTTTTGCATGATACCATTCTAAAATGAATTTTAATACTTTCCACTCAAGTAATATACATGATAATATATAAATATATATTTTTGTGTGGAGTGGACTACAATGTTTTGTTGGTGTTAAGGCTTTTAAACTCTGTACTTCAAAATGATTTCATTTATAAAACTTTTAGGTTACTATTTTACTTGTGGCTGAACGAGGAAGATGTGTTTGATTGCATTTGCAGATGTGAAAGAGAAGAAAGATGGAGACACAAATGGAGTAGGAGCTGGTGAAAAGAATGAGAATGTACCTTCAGAGTCCAAAAGTGCAAAGAAAAAGAAAAAGAAGGATAAATCTTCCAAGGAGGTCACGGAACTGCAAGATCAAGCCAACAGCTCGGACGTCACCAATGGACCGGAGGAAACTGCTGGGACCGAACAGGGAGCAGAAGAAGATGCATCTGCTGTTGATGTAAAAGAGCGGCTAAAGAAGATTGCTGCTGCAAAGAAGAAGAAATCCAATAAAGAGTTGGACGGTGCCGCCAAAGCTGCTGCCACAGAGGCTGCTGCAAGAAGTGCAAGACTTGCTGCTGCGAAAAAGAAAGAGAAGAATCACTATAACCAGCAGCCGGCACGTTAAGAGCCCTTTCTGTTTGACATTGATACGAGGATACCTTTGGTTGTTCATTTGCCAACGCAGAATAATCAGAGCGGGCTGTGGGTGGTGCTGATTTGAAGACAGATGACCTTTTGTAGTTTTTCCATGGGTGTAGTGTTTCATAAAAACAGAAAACTCAATGCAAAATTTTTATCAAGAGAATTTCAAATCAAAAGCCCTTTCAGAAAGGTTATGTAATTTGTTGGTGGTAGACTGGTAGTTGTGCTTGTTTTTACAGAAGAAAGTATAATACTGTTTGGTACTATAATCGGGAAAAAATAAATAAATAAATTCAATGCAACAATAATATCATGTTGTTATTATTAATAACAATCAAACTGAGCATAATGAATCTCATTCTGTAGATGTAATTATTATTAAATTATGTTTGATGGCAATTATATATTTGAACAAAAATGTTAGGGATCTTAAAATTTTTATCAAAAATTTTATCCTGTGTTAGATGCGTGTGTGATTCACATGGTGTAGGTTTCACGCGTATGTGAAACCTTTGGTAGAAATTTTGATAGAATTTTTAAGGTCTGTAGCATTATTCATATTTGAATCGTAGGATTCACCAATCTTGTATACATTTCTGGTACATTAGTTATAAATAAAATCTATACCAAATACTTGACACAAATTTTTGAAATAAAAAAAGGGGATGCACCAATAAATCCCAAATTAATAACTTATACACTGTTTAGTCCTAAAAATTTTCTTATAAATCCCAAATAACTTATTCATCAGATTTCAATAATGTTTGAAATTATAGGATGAATGTTTCAAACATTAGATTTCAAACATCTAATGTTCATCAGATTTCAATAAATTTTGAAATTATAGAATGAAACATCAAATTCATTTACATCATGAACATCATGATGATGTATAAATGGGACTAAATGGAGCATAAGAAAACTTTTAGGACTAAATGGTTCAACTTTTCAGAGACTAGGATTTATGGATAAATTTTCCAAACTTCTTCTTCAAATCATCTAAAAAAAATATGAACATCATCAATATCATCTTCAAACTTAATTGATTATTCAGATCATCTAAAGATATTCAAATTTTATCAAACGCTAAAAAAAATCTTCAAGATCAGATTTGAACATCAATTTTAATTGATAAAATTTGAGCATCATCTTCAAACTTCAAACTTCAAAATTTGAACATCAATTTTAATTGATTATCAAACGCAGATCTATTTTCAATATAGATCTGTGAATAAATCTGTAAAAAAAAATCAGATTTCAAATCTGCATAAAATTTTTTTCTTGAAGATCATCAATATCTGCAGATTTTTTTTTTAGTTTTGATGCAGATTTTAGTGCTGTGTGTAGCTGAACATTCAATTCCTTGCAAATTTTCCCAATCTCGGTTGTAGATGGATTGAGAACTTTGTCCGTCGGTGACTGTGATTGTGCCGTGGAGCTTCTCTCCGTCGATCAAGCTCCGCGAGAACCTCCCTAAGCCTCTCCACCGACACATCTTCTGGCGACATGGCTCTCTCTCTCTCTGTGCGTGTTTGATCGTGGTGACGAGTGAGAGTAGACAAAAGGAAGGGGGCTGAATTTCTCTGTGATAGATGGGAGGACCTTAGACATCAAAAAATAATTTTGTGGATCTCTTCCCTTACAAAAAGTGGGGGAGGGACCCTAGACCAATTTTCCCTTTTGATTAAGTGCATCTAAGAGCTTTTTAAAAAAAAATTGAGTAAAATATGAAAAACCTTCATTGAAAACAACAAAATATGAAATTATTTTTGAAAACTCAACAAACCAGACTGTAAAATTTAAGGTTGCGCTTGATAGAATTTTGTAAATATGATTTGAAAATATGAGTTGTATTTTGAGTTTATGAGGTTTATAATTATGATTTGAGTGTGAAAAATTTATTTGGTGAAGAATTTTGAAAAGAGTTTGAATTGAGTAGAGAATTTTTGATGTGATATATAATGTTTGATATAAAAACTTACAACTCATAACCAAACATACTATTCAAAATTCTATTAAAACACAGAAAAAAAATTAAAAATTCAGAAAATATTTTTTTTGAATATATAAAAATTAACATATGTAAATTGTAAAAAAAAAAAAAAAAAATTGCACTGTTCCGATCAACCGGTGGGACGACCGGTTAGGCGAAATTTGAAAAAAAAAATTTTGAAAACTGCACCTGAGATAGAGTGTTTTGTGCAGAGTTTTGGAAACGTGTTTTGAGAACTGTAACCAAACATGATACTTGAATGAAAATGTAAAATCATGATTGCAAAACACAACCAAACACAGCCTAAACAACTCAATAAATTATACCAATAGGACCACCACGTAAGGGATGCATTCTGATCAGTTTCCAAACAACCATGTACAATGTGCCCTAATATCTAGAAACTATTGCTGCATTCAACTCAAATCAAAATCTTCATAGAATTCACAAACATTTTTAAGCACCAATAGCAAAGAAGAAGAAAAAATGGAAGTCTCTAGAAAAATGGTCAGGTCAATTGACCGTTTCATTTCTTCAACTCTGAAAATAAATATAGAGTGTACAACAATCCAACAAATATCCCACATCCCCTCTGTGATAATGTTAGCTATAGATTGCTAGCTTACTGAACAACCTGTCAAGGTATACAATCTATGCTTGATGATGCCTCTTATCTCTTGGCAGCAGAAGATAGAGAAAGCGATGATAAGCTCTTTTCCAACATTTAATTAACCATATCATGGATCCCAACCCAATTCCAAGACATGAATCTAAGGCAGCACAGATTTTGCCCGTGTTGATACTATCTCCGCTTGTACCTGCAGAAAAAAGATGAAAGACAGTATGAGAAACTACTTCCAACTTTTATGACGAAGCAAATACAAATACTGCATATTAACAGGACACCGATGGATTACTAGCACAGATTCAGCATGAAAGTAGGGCAGCAGCATTAACCAAAAATTTCTCAAGCGAGACCTAGAAAGTGATGAGCCATCATGGACCAAGAATTCACATTGTAAAACTCACAAATCAGCTATGAAATTAGGAGCAGTTAAACTGGAAGTGATGACCCAAAATGCCAATAATACCAAATAAGTGAGTAGACAAGACAAACAGATTCATTTACAGTACTGCAAGATCATACAAGGGAACAACATGAAAAAGAAGCCTCTATCAGCTACCACAGGGCACAAACAAACACAAACTGATTTTTATTCCTTTTGTGGAGAATTCAGGTCTTCACACAAAAGAAGAAAAAACTACTCATTTTTTCTTCTCTTTGTTTCTGTAAGTTTACATTAATTAGAAATAAGTTTTACGTTGATGTTTGGATCTTGATTTGAGTAGGGATTTGTGAAAGGAAAGGAAAATGAGAGGGAAAGAAAAGTGAAAATTTTGGCTTCTATTCTGGTCACTAAACCCTTCCCTTTTCCTTTCCCTCCATAAATCCCTACTCAAATCCAAGATCCAAACACAACCTTAAGGAAATACAGGCTAGTAACATGTGACAACAAAGTATGTTCAGCACTGTTAAGCTACTATAGGTCACAATTAAGGGGTCATTAGCAAGCAAGCAATCAGGCTAACCTTTTCATACGTAACTGTAGAATATATTCTTGAATTACTAAGATAGGAAGAAACTGAGACAGCTAACTCCCATAGTTGACCACTCAAAATATTGAATTTGATATCAATACCAACCATACATGCAAAACAACAATTGCTTTGGTAAATGGAACTTGGAACAAAATGCATACCTTGACTTGCTCTTAAATGACTTTTTCTTTCCACCTCCATGAAGGTTTCTTTTCTGTTTTTTCTCACTCATATCACTCTGGAACAGGTCCCGCATCTCATCTGTCCTTGACTGAGTTCCTTGTGAAGGACGTTTTGCTTTCTTGACTGTCTTTTTAACAATCTTGCCAGCATCCGCTGCCTTCTTCACAGCCTTCACTGCTTTTGCCCGTCGATAAGCTATGTCAACAAGGGAAATCCCACCTTTTTCTTTCTTATTTTTTCCACTTCCCTGAAAAGTTCAAACATCAATTACCAACCACTTTGTAATGCAAGAACTATAAAAACTGATTAACCAGCAACTTTACATGTATAGGGGCCCATTTTATGTTGTTAATTTCCTATAAATTACAGTGAAATTCAACCGACAAAACAAAGAAAAAGAAAAGGAGAGGCACATACTTCCAACTCTTCCATGTCATTCTCATCGTCCAATCTCTCTCTAGCTGCTTCCAGTTTCCTCCTCTTCTTCCTCGGAAGATTTTTCTACTCAACAAAGATCAGGCGACAGTGAGTACCATCAATTATTTTGGTTACCTCACAGAATATTTTAGTTTGAAATATATAAATTAAATGTACAATAACAAACACCTCACGCTCTCGCTTTCTCTTTTCCTTCATCTTAAGGTCTTCAGCTTGTTGGGCACTAATAAACTCATTTCCAGAACTTCTTCCTTTTTCTGAAGTTGCCTGTAAAAGGGATTTCAGATGCCAAGTCAACAATTATTTAACTACACAGCAAGAAAATTTACTTTCCAAGATTAAATTTTGATATACATGAGAAATCAAGGCATACAGCAAGAGATGCAGGGTTCTTCAATATAACATTTATGCTACAAAAAAAACTACCTTTGCTTCTTTAGCTACAAGTTTTTTCTCCTTCTCTGTTACAAACCAGGTTCTTTTAGGGCGTGAAAAGATTTCGTCTCTATGTGCAATCATATTTTCTGCCTGTGAAGTCATTTAAGAGTGTAAATCACATTTAAAAAAAATAAAGCTTTTGGCAATACATTGCCTCAACAAATGAAACTTTCCCATTAGGTGGAAAGCATTTATGGTATAAGTTTTGGAAGTGATCATCGAACTTATGGCCATTTCCAACAAACCACAGCCATAAATTTCAGTCAGTAGATAAGAGAGAGAAAAACCTTTGCTGCCTCCATTTCAGCTTTTCTTAAGGCCATCTCTTCCCTGCACAAACATAAAATGATGATCAAATTTAAAGGAGGGCACATTTGGAAAACAAACTGATATTGGAAATAATAAAGACCTCTCTTCTTGGAGAATTGCAGCCACTTGATCCTCCATTTGGTCAATGATCTGAGACCATTTAGTTGTTGATTGCTCTGCAACAATCCGGCTCTTCAGCTTTGAACCAGCTCTCTTTGCCTGTTACAGTAAAAACCACAACTCGATAACTGTCATTCACCATCTGTTAGCATCAATATACTTCTCGAGAGGGGCCTCTAAAAAAAATGCTAAAAGAGTTGGATGGTTTGAACTACAGAAAGTCGAGCCACCATGTTCCCATAACCATGCATCCTTTTGATAATAATTTTAATAAAAGTGATGGTGCAACTGTGTTATTGCAAGGACCAGAACTGATTGAAAGCATGATCACTCAATTATGTGTGTGTCAACATGGCTAAGGAGATGAACGAACAAGCACAACTTGATTTGAGAAAGAATAAAAGCTACAACAAATGAAGTTAGTTAATGGTAGAGAGGGGCTGAAAGAAACAAGAACTTGGCATGACCGTTGCATGCATCTTTGTAGGACTTGGATTTTTAAACAAATATGGGAAGCTTAACTAATTTTTTTTTTAAAAGTTAGAAGAGCTTTAATACTTCATTCTAGAATTTAATATAGGATTTTATTTTATGACTGAAGAAGAAAAATTAACATAAAATAGAAAGTTTTGAAATTCAAAATAGAGTAGACAAATTACTTAAGGATATACCAGGGTAGCAAGGAATACACTTCTTTGGCTTTGAATCCACAAGAAGACGCCATATACACATTAGCAAGATGTACAGTTTTCTGGACCCCTAGTGGACACCTCAGTGACTTAGGGTCACATCCCCCTAACAAGAAGACTCATGTGAGTTTTTATCTTGCCTATCAACAATAAAAAGATGTACAGATTTCTGTCTAAAAGAGATGCATTTGGCAAATTTTGGTTGTCTTATACGCAACTTAGAGTTGTAGGCACAAAGGGGCCCTTGAGGGATCATGCATGAAAACTTAACCATGAAGCATATATAGCCACATGGGTATGTAAATTGAAATGACTTCAGTTGAGAAAATGCCACCACATCTACAGAAGTTAAAAGTTTAGATAAACTTATCATGCAACCACCTACGCGAATGCCAACACCAACTTCAACTGAGTGGTTCAAACATTCTATTTTTCAATCACGTAGTATTGCCCTCAGTTCTACCCCGTGATGTACAACCCTGCCTAACCTAGTCATCAGCATCCTCAGAAAAAATCAAACCCAACACCCCTCAATTACCTAGTACACACTAGATATTAATTGGCCTGGAGCTCATCGATTCAATGATGAAATGTCAAAAAATTAGAGTCTGACTGATATATTAGATTTTCATTTCATCATAATGCTTCCATCTTTCAGTGTATAATATACATACAAAAAATTTAATAGACCCCATAAGGAGTTAGCTAGATATGAGAAAGAATATGATGACTCACAATGGCTTTCAAGAGAGACCGATCATTATCAGTGACAAATGTAACAGCATATCCTTCTCTACCAGCTCTTGCTGTGCGACCTACTCGATGAACATAACTGCAGAAAATAAAATAAAAAAGAAATAAGATTTGAGATACTGAACAAAAAAATTTCAATTAAGCTAAATAAGCAATAGTTGCAAAAGGATAATTTGATCTCTGATTTCTTTGGGCATATGCTAATGCAAGTTTAGTGTATGTATAACAAAATAATGGGGGACAACAAAGTATGTGTATGCACATCAAGAAAAGCAAAAATTATAGTTCCAATGTGAAACTGAAGTAAATAACAGTTTAGAAATGCAATAGCAGCATCAAGGACAAGTAAGTATCAACCTAGTAAGGTCTCGGGGGCATGCAAAGTTTATAACTGTTTGAACACCAATGATGTCAAGTCCCTACAGAAGACAACCAAGCTGTAAGATGTCATTAACAAAATATGGCTTGGTATTTTATTTTAGTTTAGGTTGAAGAACTGGGTTGAATAATCTCATCTTACACGAGCAGCAACATCAGTTGCAATAAGAAAATCTACTTGCTGCTTCCTGAAAAGTTCCAAAGCCTATACAGAAACCATGAGTAACAGATTAGCAAACTGAATATCCGCTCAATTAGCAACTCACAGAACTAGCAACTCACATCAAGACGCTGGGCTTGGGTAAGATTTCCATGTAGTTCGGCACCTTTGAACCCAGCTAATCCAAATAAAATCTTCAGCCTATGTGCAGCCTGCTTTGTTCCACTGCCAACGGAAAAAGTAAAATCAATATAATGAAGTCACAGAGACCACATCAGTAAGTGAAAGTGGAAAATTGAACAAACAAAATGATATTAATGATGAGACTATTATTAGTCTAAGCACACGCCTCCCTGCGTTAAATATATATTGAGGGTTTTGATCAGCTTAAAGCAATGCTGAACTGCTCAAACATGAATTTTGATCAACATGCTAAATTGTGGCTTTTCTTGTTCCCCTTCTCTCTTCTATTGACTATAACAGGATGGGATTCATGATGCAAGTCCCTCCCATCCCTACTCCTGAGTGCTCCCATTTTTTTTTTTTCTCTTTCTTTTCATTTCATTTCATTTTTCATTTTTCTTAAGATGGACACCAGTAATGAGATTTGCACCACATTTCTCAAAATAAAACATTTTAAACGAATCTTCAAAATCCACATTGAGCCTTGAATTTTTTCCAATTCCAATTGAGTGACTTGCAAAATAACCATCAAGGTTGTTCAGGGTTCATGGTAATAGCTTTCGATATAACTTCCTCTGTAACACCGAATCCAGGATTGAATGTTTCATTGCTAAGGCCAATGTCCACGAAGAGAATCTTGAGTCAAAACTGCCTCATAATAGATTACCTTATGGATCTCTTTTCAGGGGCCTTCAGTAGGAATCATGAAGCGCACAAATGTAGATTCAATCAATACAGTTTATTCAAACTGACCCAAATTTGTTTCTCTATTTGAGTTACAATGATCAAAAGAACATTTTTAGAGAAAGTGCATCCCCCAAAATGAATCACATTATTAGATTACAAGGAACGCCGGTAAGAATATGCTTAACAGCATTGAAAAACCTGAAAATTATCACTCTGGATGTGAAAGTCTTGGAGCACAGTGCAAGAAGAACTGCCTCCTGATTCACTTCACGCATTCGGCGTATCCTAACCACCCTGCACACAAGCAACCAATAGTTGTTTGTGAGCAACCCAAATTGAATGTAAAGAAAAAATAAAATGCTTATACATCAAAATTGTTATTAACATAACCCTCAATCCTTCAAGATTATAAAAGACTATTCATATATATATATACACAAATGTACATATACAAGTATATCATCCTGACATGTGACCATCAATTTGTAAAATTCCAGCCAAATATAAGGGGCCGTGGAAGTTAAAAGGTATTACTCCTCCGTCAGTGATGCTGGTCTTTTTGTGGATGGGTCAGCAGAGAGGCGCAATGGCCGGGTGAGAGAAAGCTTGATAAGTTCGTCGACTTCTTCAGTCATAGTAGCTGAAAATAGCATGGTCTGTCTTCGTTTAGGGCACAGTCTAACCTGAAAAAATAAAAGAAAAAGAAATACGAAATATAAAAAATAAAACAGCATATTCCGGTTAGGGCTGCAAAACAAAGCAAGCAGAAATACGAAATATAAAAAATAAAACAGCATATTCCGGTTAGGGCTGCAAAACAAAGCAAGCTGCACATGAGCAATTCAGAAGTTCAGTTTGGTTTCGGCTTGTTCAAGAGGTACAGACATTTCATCAAAAGCCATGCACAGACAAAAACTTCGAGCTTGTTTAGTTAGTTACGATACGATACGAATACATCACCCTATTTGAAGTATCCGTACCAGCTCACGAATTTCAGCACTAAATCCAAGCTCCAGAAGGCGATCTGCCTCATCAAGGATCAAAACTGCAAGATCATCCAAATCTACGGACAAAGAATTGCGCAAATGATCTATCATACGTCCTGGAGTTGCCACAACAATATCTGGCATTGATCTCAAAGCTACTTCTTGCATCTGAAATAAATTCAGGATCAATAATACCATTTTGACAGAAACACAGATTTTAGAAGGGTCAAACGATATGAATAACAGGGAATCAACATTTCCTAAAATAAATGAGAAATGTGAGAACCACATCGTTCACACAAGGATGGACCATTTTTCTTCTCGGGAAAGAGAAGAGGCCTTCCATCCATAGAGCCTGTACACAACATTAAGAAAGCTGGAAAAGGCAATCATTCATACATGCCATTTTAGTGTTCTTAAGTGACCAAAAAAATCGAGAATATCAAAAACTCCAAACTAACTGAATGTTTGAAATTTCAAGAGACATTCATATCCAAATCAATAAATAGATTCAGGTGTTTGGGGGAAGTAACCACTAATTCAACCACAAAGTAGATGCAAACTCAATTGCACAAAAATTAAAAGAGGTTCGGAGGGGTTGAATTCTGATCCACTAGAAGGAACTAACTCCACCAAAAACCAGATTTAAAGTTAATAAACTATTAAGGATATCAAAACTTGTATACAAACCTTCGTTGATAGCCCACCCACAACCAGACAGCATCTGATATCTGTGAATTGAGCAATTTTCTGTACCATACTATGAACCCTGTAAGAAATAATAGAAACACAAAATTGTTTCATAAACAAGGTAATCCAAATGGAGAATATAAGTACAATTGGAAGGACATGTTCTCCAAACAATATCTCTCGCTAAAAAGTGTAAAGTACTAAGGAACCAAAATTGGGAGTAAGTTCAATTTGTGTGGTTCTTGAAAAGCATCTTGATTGTTGACAATAATAGCAGCTATTTGTCAATCCATAGTTTTCCAAATAACCCAAATTAGAAAGTGATAATCAACAATTATTCCTAGTGGACAGATTACTGCAACATATCCCTCAATGGTTATTGTTACTCAGTATGCATGCTTTGATGCATAGGGGAGGGGAAAGGGAGACTTCGTAATTCAAAGTAAGAAGAAAGATGAGCTTTAAATCATCTTGGAAAGGAAAAGGGGAAAACTTAAAAAAACAAAAGATGTAACAACATTCCCAGTAAAAAACATATTTTATATGTGCTAACTTTTAAATTAAATCCTTTGTCATCATTTCTTTTCTCATAAATTTCCACCCACATTTTTTTACATGCTCCTCTTGCCCCTTGGTAGCTAGGAAGCATAGATACGGATACGAGATACAGATACGACACGATACGGATACGGCGATACGACAAAACCTAAAAAAATAGGATACCTGTACGGCTAGGATACGTTTGTGAAAAATATCTTTTTTAAAATTATTAATAGTAAGTTACACAAAAGCTAAAGAACGTTGAGAAACCATAATGTAATTTTATAATGCAAAATACTAACCTTTAAGAATTTTGATTTAATTTAAGCTAGTAGCTTGTTTACTTTTTAAATTTTTAATAGGTCTTGCAAATATTTCATTTCAATATCAAGTTTAATATACTTATATTACAATAATAGAACAATTCACAACTTGTCTCTATACTTTTTCTTTTGACACTAGTGAAAAATATTGTATTCAAGTTTACTTGCTTATTTATTTATTGATATTTAATTTTACCATTGTTATATTCTCTTGTTAATTCTTACTTTCTATGCAGTTATAGGGGACATGCATGAAATAATTAAAATACATCAATTTGATAAATTCTATTATTTAACTCACTATACTCTTCTTATCGAAGAACTTAACAAAGTATTAGAAAAATATTCTTATATTTATACTTGCAATTATATTATATTATATTACTATGCAAGAAATGTTACAATTTTAATTTCATAAAACAAGTAAACATGACTTGAAGTATCTGATATTTCAAAATTAAGTATCCAATACTCCAAAATTAATGAAAAAATAATTAAGAAGTATCCGATACTTTTAATAAGTATTCGATATGTATCCGTGAGTATCCAAGGAGTATCGGTATCCGATACGGATACGATACGATACGAATACATCACCCTATTTGAAGTATCCGTGATTCATAGCTTGGTAGAGCCTTCACATTGAAACAAATAACTCATCCATATCATTCATTCCTCTTTTACACATGGCAAATCTCAGGTTACTTCTCCAATCTTGTGTTCAATTGACCCTCTTATATGTTCATTTTCATTATGTCCTTCCATGCCTTGTCACCCATACATGTTAACATAATGATGCAAATAATGTGGATTAAAAATCCAAGAAACAACAATACAAGAATGCACTCTTTTTGGATTAGCCTGTGCTTGTGGGACCACTTTGTGTGCTTTCTAAGTTGCTTTGGAGTCTAATCTGTGCTATATTCGCAGATTTGATGATTAATTCAGTCAGTTAAGTTCTGGACTTTTACTTCAAAAGTCATATATTTTTTAGTCATGTAATGATGTAACCACTTAGGGGCAAATTGTTGCTTGAGCTTATTTTATTCTGCCAAAAAGGAAAATAATCCCTCACACAGAAGTAAATCCATGATTCAAGTGTAAATATGACACTATACCGGATCATTATAATATCAAACAAAGATTAACTTGGTTAAAATAACACTCACTGAACAGCCAACTCCCTGGTTGGAGTAAGAATAAGAACTCGAATTGCTGGTGCACGTTTTGGACGGTACAATAATCTCTCCAGAGTAGGTAAGGCAAAGGCAGCAGTCTGTACAGAGGAACACCACAGGAAATTACTTTCACCAAATTGCCAATCATCAAATGCTACAATTTTTGTTCCTTCAAAACAATCATTAAACTTCATATTGTAATTGGCAACTAATTACAGACAAGACAATTACCTTTCCAGAACCAGTAATTGCACTCCCGCATATATCACGCCCCGATAAGGCCAGTGGTACGCAGGCTGCCTACAAATCAAATGCTATTACCTTACCAAAAATACATAACCAAATGCTATACACAAAGACTTGCAATATATATTGAATAGTAAATTAGAAATAAATGAAGCCACAGATAGAAGAAGACCTGAATTGGCGTCGGCTTAGTGTAGCCCAATGCTTCGCAAGCTCGAAGCAATGGCCTTGACAGATTAAGCTCCATGAACGAATTCGCGTGGAAAGAGGTCCCTTCTGAGGGGGCAAAGAACGACTTCTCACCGGTGTAGGTGTTAGCCGCATCGTCACCGTCCTCGGATTTGTAATCCTCCTAAAGAAACAATCATCTTGCTTAGTTTTTAATTTGTTGTTTTTCGTATTAATTTGTTAATATTTAATTTTTTTTTTCAATTATCTCTTAAATACACTTAAAAATAAAATATTTATGAAAAAAATCACTAAAAACACTTATCTTGCAAAAATTCACTAAAAAGACACCAAAAAGTGCCGATTTTTTTGCTCTTTTCAAAGAATTATTTCACAAGAGTTTAAAGTTTTTAGTTTTTAGGTACTGCACCTTCATCTAAAAAATATATGGAAAAAAAATACAAAAAAATAACAAATTATGAGTTCGAAAACCAAACATGAAGATAAGATTGACGAGAAAATGTGAGGAGGACTTACTTGGCGGTCTGGTTCGGAATCAGAGGAGTCTTCGTCGGCGGCGGCGACGGGGAGAGTGGTGGAACGTTCTTGGAGGAGTTTGGAGATCTTGAAATCGACAGAGGTGGTGCTGCGGCGGGCGTGCTCTTCGGCGACTGATTCGGAGTAGGCTGCGAAGTCCCATGGAGATTGAGATTTGTGATTAGCTAGGCTTTGTTCTCCATCGTCTTCTTCATCTTCTTCTTCCTGCTCGTCGTGTTGGTGCTCGACGTCTTCGTCGCTCGGGGGCTCGAAGAGGAAGCTATTTTCCGCCATGGGAAGTTGCAGGTCCAATTTGAGGGGTTTAAGCAAAAAGGTTGAGCTTTTGTTTTAGGTTTACGCGCAGGGGTTTTAGACGCTTTGAAGAATAGTAAATTACACTTACTCCCTCGTATTTTTAAGAAAATACAATAGGTCTCCTAGTTTTAATATATTTATATTAAAAAATCAAAATTAATGGCGTTGCTTGGTTTGTGTTTCATAAATAATTTTCTGAAATCTTCTCTGAAAACACATTTTTGGGAGTAATCAAACCAAACAGATTTTCCCAAAAAAATTCTCAGAAATGTGTTTGGTTGTCTTTTTTTAGAATCACTTTTCAAAACAAATTCTCAGAAATCCGTTTGGTTGGTTTTTTCAGAAATACAAAATACAAACACCTCCAATTATGTAAACATGTTTTGTTTTTTTCTTTTCTTTTTTTTTTTTTTTTTTTTTTTTTTTGAGAATGAAGCAAAACAACACAAATTAGAATGAAATTGATGGATACTCACAGCATGGTCAAGAAATTCATGCAATAAAGCTGTATTTTCTAATGTAAAAATCTGGCCTTATGCCAAATCAGTTCACCTTTAGCAGCATAATAAGATCTTGCTCAAGTTTGAGTTCCATTGAGCTAGGGAGGTAGTTGCATGTTCATGTCATTAAATCAGAATTTGGTTCCCACCTTATTGCACAAAATGCTTTGATTGCAATGTACACAAAATTTGGTCAAATTGCTGATGCATTGGATGTGTTTTCTGGTATAAGAAAAAAGGATTTCATTTCATGGAGTTCAATGATTGCGTGCTTTTCACAAATTGGTTACGAGTTAGAAGCACTGAGCCATTTTAAATAAATGCTGTCTCAAGGTGTTTATCAGCCAAATGAATTTGTTTTTGGTAGTGCTTTTAGTGCTTGTGGCAGTCTCCTGCAACCAGAATGTGGGAGGCAGATCCATGGGATGATTACAAAATTTGGGCTAGGGAGAGACACTTTTGCAGTTTGCTCGCTCAGTGATATGTATGCAAAATGTGGTCTATTGGATTTTGCAAAAATAACTTTCTATCACATAGAGATGCCTGATTTAGTGTCTTGGAATGCAATCATTGCAGGGTTTGCGTATGGTGGTGATGTAGACGAAGCCATGCTATTTTTTTCTCAGATGAGGCATCTGGCATTGACCCTAGATGATATCACAGTTCGCTCCCTGCTTTGTGCCTGTACAAGTCCAGTTACCCTAAATCAAGGCATGCAGATACATCCATACCTTATCAAAGTGGGTTTTGATTTAGGTATAGCAGTATGTAACACTTTACTTTCAATGTATGCAAAGTGTTCAGATCTTTATGATACATTTAAAATGTTGAACGAGATGACAAGCAATACAGATTCGTTCTACTACTCCTATCAAATGCTCCTTTCAAATAAACCACCGAACTCTATAATGTGATGAAGGATAACCCAGTTACCAGACTAAAATGAACACAGTACCTGTTACCACATTGACAACATACCAAACCAGTGTCTCAATGGATGAAGACTAACAGAATCTATTAAAGCACCCAATTAAGACCTTCTGTAAAAACATGTAAAAATAGATCTAAATATGTAAACACACATTCAGAACACACAGAAGCATCTGTTCATAGACCAGAAAACAGAAAGCAGCATAATGCAAATTTAACATACACAGAGAAGCATCTGTTCCAGTTACAGATTCAGAACACACAGAAATGAGACTGTTCCAGTTACAGCATCTAAATATAAAATATAGATTCACCATTGCATCTAAATTTAAAATACAGATTCACCAGTTACCGCATTTAAATTTAAAATACAGATTCAGAACACAGCAACACAGACTTGCCAGCAACACAACAAATTTATAACACAGCAACACAGACTTGCCAGCAACACAGCAAATTTATAAAATACAGATTCATCCACTGTTTCACTAATTTGCCAGCAACACAGCAACATAGACTTCAACACATGGATACAGAACATCACCTAGATAAAGAAGACACAGATTCAGAACAGCACCACAGTGAATTTGATTGCAGCAGCTGCACCATGCGTTGGCTTCATCTGCATATGGCTTTTGAGTTAGCAATCCCATTTTCAAATATATACAAGAAATACAAATATAATGTGAAGTTTGAAACATTAACCTACTTTGATTATGTGCTCCATTTTTTCCAATTACCAAAAAGAATCTACCTACTTGTTATCATATACCTATTGTTGTATGCCTCTCACATAGATGCTACAACCTCATCTCGCCATTGTTCCATCTGCACTAGTTGTTCACGTGACATGTTCACACGGTTGTGTTGTTGCATAGCTGGTACTCCATCTTCATTTCTGTGGACATTTTGAACTCCAACTTCACCTTGAACTTGACTTGCACCTTTACCTCCACTTTCACCTTCACCTTCACCTTCACCTTCACCTTCACCTTCATCTTCATCTTCGTCTTCAACGTCATCTTCATTTTCGTCACTTGATTCTTCTGCATCGAAAAATTCATCCTGCTCTTGCACCGTCCGGATCTAATTGTGGAGAACACAACTTGCCATAACGATTGGCCCTTGTCGTACCATATCATACCGTGACATGTGTCTCAATAATGGAAACCGTTGCTTCAACACTCCAAAGGTTCTTTCTATAACATTCCTCAAAGAAGAATGTCTATGGTTGAACAACTCCTGTGGACCATGGTAGCGACGCCGCCTATTGAACTCTTGCAAATGGTATTTTTTGCCACGATATGGGGCTACGTACCCGGGCATGTGTGTATACCCGACGTCAACGAGATAATGCTTGTCTACAGGAAAACTCTTTCAGTAAGAACATGTCATGCCATATTTGGGTGTGAGAAAAAGGAAAACTCTAAATTAAAAACAAATACACTTACTAGGTGGTGGGTGTGAAAAGTCAGCAGAATTTGTGGTAAGTGCTTTTAGGAAAATTCGCGAATCGTGTGCACTACCTTCCCAACCAGTGTATACAAACGTAAACTTCATGTCAAATGAACATGCAGCCATGACATTTTGAGTTGTATGCACTTTTCTACCTCGATATGGCATTTGGTCACCTTCTGGTGCCACAACAACAACATGTGTGCCATCTATGGTCCCTATACAGTCCTACATGACATAACTTTGAATTAATTTATCTAATTTTCAGTCTGAATAAGCCATATAAAATAATGCAAATGAACTTAAGTTTTTGTTACCTTAAACCATGGCCAGTACCGTCTGTCATTCCGAATTTTATGATGGGTCACATCCATGTTCGGTGGTTGGATTACAAATGGCGCAAGATTTCCCAACGCCCGCATCGTAAGTACGAAATGACGATGAATTGTCTCATTTGAGTGCTGAAATCGATCTCCAGCATTTCTTATTCCTGAACTTTGACCACAGATAAATAAAAACATAGCCAACGACTCTTCAAGTGACAATCGCATGTTCGACCAGTCTACAACATTTCTACGGACAATCTATTTAACTAATTCCACAAATGTCAGGACTTCCATTCACAATTGTTCACGGATTGATTTAGGATTTCCACTTAGTAAGAATTTTATGTACTGCTCACCGGTGTATAGACAATTACGTTGCGGTTGTCTCGTAGGAATGTCACGTGTTAGTTGACAAACCATGTGTAAGTCCATCACATCATCGCCATCGTCACTGTACGGGTTGTACATATTGTTCGATTGCCTTTCATTAGGTCGTGACGACGACATCTAAAGCAGAAAGTGTAAAACAGTCAAGGTATTATCAGTAATGACATGAGTACAGCACTAAAAATTTAATGAGGACATTGCAACAAAGAAAGCATGGCGAAAAGATATTACAACAACATAGTGGTAAGTCTAAAGCCAATGAACTTAGACAGCATGATATAGATAGTTAGGTCAACACCTAACATAGTCCAAACCGAATATTACAAAAACAAACAAATTAAAACAAATATAATTTAAGTTTAACAAATGCGAAAAACAAAGAAAAATACACCCAAACAATTCTACGAGCATCTTCATTTCCAGAAACCTCAAACCAAATAGTGGGATGACCAAGCTTCTCACAAACTGAGGATCCAAAGGTACCTCATTTCCAGTTCCATGGTCATAAACATGGTTCGCCATTCTAGTGATGTGAACATGTTCATGGCCTTCAAAAACAAACTCGGATCTAGGGCCATTGATTTTAGGATAGTCATACATGCTGCAACAGAGTACGCATCAGCTGCCCCAGCGTTGGCCTCGGCTTGAAGGTAAAACCGTTCACGTGCTTCACATGAACGTTGCCATGATTGCAGTGCATCGTCCACTTTTGGGTTCTTGCTGGACTGACCCTGGCCACTAGACTTACGCTTACTTTCGGAATTTATAGATTCATCTACTACGCCTTTTCCCGATGTATATGCATGAAAGCGTTCATCCATTTCTCGCTCGTTATCAAATGTGGGTGCACCCTGATGAGAAGAACGCGCAAAAGCGCCCGTGGCAAATGACTTGGCAAATATTTCTGACAGGAGCTCATAATGTTAAAGGCCTTTGGTTTGGAATTGTTTTGCATTTGGGTGTGCCTACAAGTTGTAAACTTTAATTAATTAAGCATTTAGAAAATTATTTCTCTATGCACATGGTTATGCTAAATGTATGCGCCAAATAATTACCGAACATAATTTTCCCAAACATTGTCTCGGGCTGTCACTGTTTGAGTGATTGGATCCCAGCCCAAACCCGCGTGGTTTTTCAGAGCAACAAACTCTTTGTAGTTTGCCTTCAAACGCGCGAACTTACCCTTCAATTTTTTTTGCCCATAATTTTTTCCAACATTTTTAGTCATCTCATCATCAATTGTTTGCCACTGCCTTGGGAAAAAACTTCTATCTTTCTTTGACATGGAAGGACCCTCTTTCTTTATTTCGTCCACCAATATTTCTAAAAATATCTCGACAATTTCGGACCCCCACATCTTAAAGTCATCATTATCGTTAGCCATTCTAGCCTAATACAAGTGCAACAAATTACAGTTTATAGTTATGTGAACAACTTAAGTTCCAGAAAAAGTTTGGCAGTACGTGACATGAAGCATATGCATAATAATAGCCATTACGAATATTACAAATATTTAATATGAGATTCCGCGTGCAAAAGTTTACCGGATAAGGACAATCGTTTTCAGCTGTGGAGGAATTGACTGATGGTTGAGGTGATCTCTTCCTCTTGGCCCTTGGTGTATTGAACAATGACCGTAGAGTACAAAGTTGGCCTGGTTTAAAATCAAAATGAAAAATTCAGAATGAGTAGAATTTATGTGGCATACATGAGCAGAATTATCAAAGCAGAATTTTCAGAATGAGCAGAATTTATGTACGCATACATGAGCAGAATTTATATTTCAAATCAAGTACCGCCTTTTTTCTAGTCATTCATTTTTGGTCAATGCAAGAAAAATCATTGAAGTTATTCTAAGTGAACATATGTGAAATACAATATTCAAACCTTCATAGTTTAAATTTTAAATCCTGCCAGTATTATAAATCAATTTTGCCTTATAAAACTGAAGAGAATTGTCATTCCAGCTACATCGACTCCACAGCACTAACTGATAAAAATTCAAAAACTAAATTAATTCCACTCTAAAATCCCAACAAAAGTAGAAAAATGAATATAATTGAAAAATGCCAATAGAACAACTCAAAGTTTATTGAAGAAGAAAATAAAAAGGCTGATCCAAACAGGGAAATTAATTTTTGCAAAACGTTCATTAGATCATTTCAGTACGAATATACCAAACAGAGTTTTTGATCTGTCATTGATGATATAAATGCTCTCAGAATTTGTATTGACCAGAATTTATGTATGCATACATGACTAGAAAAAAGGCGGTACTTGCATTGACCAGAATTTGTGTGGTCATCTATAGCCTTCTCTTGAATGGTTCATTTGCAGCATATTGTTCCCAAAATAAAAGCTGAAATGGAGAAAACATTGCAGTGGCTCATTCCCATTGCCACTAACACAACCAAGTAAAACTACTAGCCTTGACAACATTATGCAAACTCTACCAATGGCTTTATTTGCGATATTTCTATCTATTATTTTGGAGATTTATAATTCTTCTGTTTTATTGGATGGAATTTCAATGAATTAGATCTCTAAGAACCGCAAAATCCTAGCTTTCAATACAAAAAAAATCATTGAAAGCTCACTATATAAAAAATTAAACTACTCCATTAAAACTTTAAAATCTACTAAAAAGATAAACAACTTAAACTTTTTAACACATTCTAAACTGCTACTCGACTCATTTACAAGCCTAATCAGTAGTGTTTTGTAACCTCACATTTGCTATTTTTCAATGTATCAAAACTGCATCTTATATTTCCAACATCAAATATGTGCAGCATTTTCTATTTTCTCATTGTTTTTATATTCTCAAAGTAAAAGATTTTTTGAAAAGCCAAAACTACAACAAAAGCAACACTCATCAACTGCTATGTTAGCCTTGGCTTGCTCACAAACATAAAACACACACCAAGCCTACTAATCTACAGAATGAAAGCTTCACCGGAATCAATTCAGCACAAAATGATACAGAACAAAAAATAAGAGTGCAAATGTATAATAAAGTAAAGAAGATTCCAATGTTTGTGGTGTAAACCAAGTGGTGTAGCAATTGCTATCGATTCCATATCCCAAAAGTCTGGCGTCAAAGATAGTATAACAAATTGCATCAAGCTTTTGCACGATATGCAGGGATATATTACAGTATATGACCATAAAATCTTGCATTTTCGGGCAAAAATTTCCTTCTTATTTGAGAGCTTGAAAATGATATCAGCAGAATTGAGGGACCTTTAAATTATTCTTTCACCTTCATTGTGTACTGCCGTGGAACGAAATTCATGGCTGAAATCAGTGTAAATTCATCTTTTCACAAAAAATGGGGAGAAACAACCATTTTCTTATCAAAATTGCTAATCCTAAAAAGAGAACTATCTGTAATCTGCATATGTTCTATGAGACACCAAATAAATTAGGCTAAGGTTAATTTACTGATTTCGAAAATTATCTGGTGTGTGACTGTATGGACTACGATTTCAAAAATTTACCAAAATCAGTTAATACATTGTTCAGAACTGGCAAACCCAAATGAAATTTAAAAAAAAAAAAAAAAAAAAAGTAGTCATGCATTAGAAATACCTCTTGCTTGCTTGCTTTTGGTGGCCCTCAAATCCCATCGTCCACAACGAAGTTTTGAGCACGGCCTCTCCGTTTTTGCAGCGAAGGATGAAGTTATACTTCGTCTTGGTGGGGTTCGACGCTGGTTGGTTTGCATTTTATAGAGCCCAGAAGAAAAAAACGAAGGACATTGATGTTATAAGTCCCGATTGTGTGAAGATTTCATTCAGTTTGACTAAGACCAAAGCTAGGGCACGATTTGGGGAAATCTGTGAGGCAGAGAAGTTGTGATAGACAGTGTCGGTGCATCTAATGCGGAAGATTTCTCAAATCTTGAACAACGTATTGATGGAGGGAAGGCAAGTGGGTCTTGGAAGACACTTGGGCGAGTGCAGATCTTGACGTGCAGGTGCGGATCGTCTTCTTTCACACAGCCGATAGAGAGCTGTTGGACTGCCTTGAATGATTTTCTTTGTATCACAGAGATAGGTCAGAAAAGGCAAGTGGTCTTCGAAGGCACTTGGGCGAGTGCAGATCTTGATGTACAGGTGCGGATCGTCTTCCTTCACACAGCCGATAGAGAGTCGTTGGATTGCCTTGAATGATTTTCTTTGTATCGCAGAGATAGGTCAGAGAGGTTCTTTTGAGAGAGAGAAGACAGAAGATGCGTTTTCAGAGAAGTTTTGAGAGAGAGAAGTTCCAAAACGTGTTCTGAGATGAGTCTCAGAGAATATTTCAGAAACAGGTTTGCCAAACGTGTTTTGGTACTTTTTTCTCTCAAAAATTGTTTCTGAAATACAAACTAAACAAGCCCAATATAAATGATATGAAAATATGAAATAAATAAATAAAAATATATATTTCAATAAAAAAAATATAACAACATAATTTATTTATTTATGTGATTAACGAATTATTGATAAAAATGACTATAAATGTTATGAAAATTTAAATTTTCAGAAAATCTAATTTAACAATGATATTGAATTTTTTATATTTTTTCTAAATTTTAAAAGAGGTGATACTGTACATTTGGGCACCACCTCACATTTAACTGGTGGTGGTGCCCCAACACTTAACAAAATATGCTTTCTCTGCACGATGTCAAGAATAATGTTATTTTGTGAAGCGCTTAAGATTATTTAGACATATTTTTTGAAAGTCATGTAAATATGTAATTTATTTATTTATTTATTTTTAGGAAAGATAAAAACTTGACTCAAATTTTTAAAAAAATTATATTCATTTAGTCAAGATAGATTAAAAAAGTTTTAACAAAAAACTTAACTCAAATTTGGAAAAAGAAATATAAAAAAACAAAAACAAAAACAAAAAACAAAAATAAATTAAGAAAATAAGTTGGCTTCTTGGGCGGACTAAAAAATAGTTGGAAAAATTACCCGTAAGTCCTGTTTGAAATATGTGTACACTATTTAATCCAACAATTTTTTGAGTAGACCCAAAAGTCCTACACATTTTCCTCTCTTTCTCTCTGTTTTCTCTCATTCTTTACGTTTTTCTATTTTTTCCTACGTTTTCCTCTCATTTTCTTTGTCATATTCGACGACCGATGTGATCACCTTCTTTATTCTCTTTCTCTTTCTAATATATAGTCACCGGTGACCGACGACCACCATTGATTGGGTTCACCGGCAACCACCAACCACCGACATCAACTCGTTACTTCATTTTCATTGACGGCAAAAAAGATGAATATATCTACTCAGATCTACATGAGAATCGACTAGATCTAAACCATAAATAGTTGTCGGAGTACAATATTCTTTCTATATCTATTATTTCTTTCGATTTCTTAATTTTTCTACATTTTCTCTGTTACACATGTCTATTTTTTTGTTTTAATGAAGAAAAAATTCAAGTTCTGAATAAGTTGTTTTCAAGTTTTAGTTACAAGCAATGAAAACTGTAAGCTTTTTTGGTGCTGAAATGAATTATGCTTTAAACCTGTAAAATTTTGTAGTTTCATAACATTATTTAGAAACTGTAAAATTTTGCAGGTTCATAACATGTTTTCCAGCTTAATAGAATAATGCTTTGAAATTGTAACAATTTACAGTTTCAAAACTTACTTTTCAATTTGATCAATATTACAGATTATTTGCTTAGTTGTTATGTTTTTTAACTATAATTTTTTCAGTTATTCCTTCTTCTTTTTTCCCCTGCAATATTTTGAATATTCCAGTGAGTCTCCGATGATATTCTTGACATTTTCCAGTGACGTTCAGAACACTCTAGCGAACTTCTGGCGATGCTCAAAACACTCCAGTGAATTTCTGGTGATGCTCCGGCGACTTCCGGTAATGTTGAATATTCCGGTGAGTCTTCGGTAAGTCTTATGAAAGTCGTTGGATGTAGCAACATTTTTAAAGTGATAAAAAAAAAAAAGTGTTTTTGGTAATAATTAAAAATATGTAAGACTAATTGAAGCAAGTATTTTGTTTTGGAATTAGATAGATTTTGAACTTTGTGTATGAAACTTATTGACCCAAAATAATTTACCCTTCGATTCTGAATTTTGCTGGGAGAGCTTTAGTCAAATGGCATGAAGGCAAAAGGCATTCCATTCCAGCATTTGAAAATGGTGATGTAAATCTTTTGATGCACTACTTGTCTGATTGCAATCTCATTTTATAAAATTTTCATTATTGTTTGGAAGCCAAAAAAAATCAATTTTGAGTTTGTCATGAACCCAAGTGTTAGTAAAAATTATGAAAATGGGTGCAAACACCAAAGTAATTTGCTATAATTTACAGCTCACAAAGCATTCTCAAGCAGAGACAAAGAAAAGAGACTCAAATTGCTATTCACAAAATTTCGTTACAAATTTGCTGCCCGAATTCTCTAATCCTTGTACTTGAATTAAATACAGTAACAAAAATAGAAATTAAAACTATCTACGGGTCACCAAAATCTCCAGGGATCCTTGTATGGAGGCACATAGTTTTCTGTGGGAGGGAGAAGGCGAAAAGATGCTGCAGTTTTTTCCAAGAACGGCCCCATCTGTATCACATAGAAGATTAGCATTAGTCATGAATTTTTATTTGTTTTGATTTAAAGACAAAGTAGAAGAGAAGCAAAATCTTATGTCGCAATGGATTCAAATTGCTCCATTTTGTTTCCCATATGCTTTGAAGATACTATTCCATGGTGGAGTGCTCATGTATTTTCGATAAATTTGAACGAATATATACAAATTTCAGAAACAGAGAGACAGACTCACAACATCCCATTGCTTGTTAAGAGTTGAAGCACTCAGAGAGTACAAATAACCTGCAATCAAGCACCTTTGAAGTTAAAAACATAACAAAAGAATATATATATATGTGTTGAAACCTAAATAAAACACACACAACATCAACCAAAAAAATAAACACAAAACAGAATTTCTATTACACCAATTTAAATTCTTCTTTTTTGTTTTCTTGGTTTGATCTACCAATGTAAGTCAACGGCGTTTCAAAAAGACCAGCAATAGATCAACCACGGTGAGCAAACTCAGCACAATTTTTCCTTTACTTTTTGTTTTCTATCCACTTAGATGAAATTTCATGCAAAAAGCAAAAGCCAATTCAACACTCTTTATCATGTTATTTTCATTTGGAATTTACCAATATCTCCTAAATTTTATGAAACCATCAAATCAATGTTAACAATCATGTAAATGGAAAAGATATAGTTACATAATCATGTTTGCATAACAATGAATAGTAGAACTGTGAAATAGGGTCTACCATCTCGTTCACAAGTAGAAGAAATGTAGTGCCGAAAAAGATTTGATTCTTGAACCTGCATGCACATAAAACGTGAACACATGACTCCAGCATTTATGTATCTTTCTGCTCTGATCTTATATAAGTGAAGTAAACCTTACAGTTTTCGTTGGTGATTTACGAATGAGGTATTCACAATACCAGTATGGCTCTCCATCAATCTGAGGAAGAAACAGTAAGTTCCGCGTATGCATATAGAAGAAGTAAAATGATGAAAACACTCTAACCATGCTAGCCATTATTATATTATGAATATTCTTGATTTAAAGTTAAGAGTGCCATATAGCAAAGCAAAGTTTGGAGAACTCACTTCAGAAGAATGTGCGTCAAGAACTGAACTCTCAGCCATCCGTTGACTTGAGGTGATTCGCTGGCCAAAAAACATAAACACGCGGTTGCAATAGTACTGAGATTAGAGGGTTAACTTTTGGAGGAGACACAAGTACAATAGACCCAAAAAGGACTTAGCCCGGTGGACATGATCATTAAAAGTAGAAAAAAATCTACACCAATGAAATTTCTATATCAATCATTAATTTAGAAGAGGCAGTGAATTATCAAACAGCTCAAAATATAAATTTATTTTTGATGTAGATGACTGGTCACGTTGTTGTCCACCTTGAAAAATTACCACATAGACTATCACAATTATCAAATACATTTAAACTGTGAAGAGACAGGTGGGCAAATTACCAAAGCAGATTTGTCAGATAAAACAGAATCAGCAACATCTTTTACACTCCATGTGCTCTTGTCCTTTGATTTCAAAAACTGTGAATTGGGGGGACCTATCTGAACCAAGGATTGAAAATCAACAAACCTTAAAACCTTAAAATAATAATAATAACAAAAAAATAAATAAAAAAGAACCATAAGGATCGCACTTGATAAGAGTATGATCTTATTGGAGTTACCGAAATAGAAATGATGAGGTTATCAATGATGTCCACACGCTCGGACACGATGCGTAGACGCGCATCAGCTGTATCATGTTGGAAGCAATATCTAGTAAGTTTTCTGTAGCATGCATAAAAGCTCAGGCAATTTAAAATCTGATATAAAACCAATCCTTTATGGTATTTCTGTAAATTCCATATTCCTTTGTGAAAATTGATTAAGGGGAATATATCTATCTATAAATCGTTAAGCATGGTTTCAATCTTCTGAGAAGTTCAATCTTTCCATTTGACCAGTAAAACACATTACTAACTTACGAGTGAGTGGTGCAGCTGATGAATAACGCTCTGGCTTTCTGGATTCCACCCTGCAAATGGATGAAACGAGTTAGGTTTCTACATGTTAAGTATGCTTGATAACCAAGAAGTGAACTTATTTGTATTCAAGTGGAATAATAAGAATAAGGGTCTGCTTGGATGTCTGCTTTAATTTATCACTTTTCACGTAGCCTTTAAAGGTATAAATTCATCCCTTGATTTGAGCCATGTAGGATAACGGTAGCCATCACAAAATTGATGTTTGGAATCCTGAATTTTGTGAATTCAGGGTAACCTAAAAAGAAGCATATGAATGATACTTAGGCCTCGTTTGGAAACAAGTTTTTTTAGTAACTTTTTGACTAAAATATAATGTAAAAAAAACTAGTATATTTGGGATGAATTTTTTCACTTTTTATAAAAAAAAATGTGAAAAGAAATAATATAAATAATTAAAAGTGGGTAATTTGACAGAAATGCGACAGACGGCAGATTGATGCCAAGGCTGCACGGCTGCTGCCTAGTACATATAAAATAATATAATATATTTGAAAACATATAAAACAATATAATATATTTAAAAATATCAACTCATCTTGTAGGCTGCTGCCTAGTACACTGTGATAGTACACTGTTACTTAGTACACTGTCACGGTGCATAGGTTTATAGGATAAAAATTGTAGCCTTTTTGGTTTTTTTGGTGACTTTTTGACTTTTAGGCTAAAACCACCACTTGCCAAAGGAGGCCTTAATTTTATACTAGCTTCATTCAACAGGTTGGACTTCTTTCTTACTTATCATGAAAGAGATCCCATGCAAGGAGATGTATTAGATAGCTTGATGTACATTGTTGGACCCATTTCACAATAAATTAAACTTTTCAACTGATTGGGACTTTAGCACAATCTGACATAATTTTAAACAATGCAAATTTAGATGTTTGAAAATTTAGCACCTCTATCCTATAAAGACAAAGTTATGGAGGATTTTCAACTCACCCTACAGGCTACACATAAACCATTCATTTGAAGTAAAATTGTTGCTCTTCAACTTTAATGACAGTGAGCATTTAAGAATAAAATGCATTTCCGTTAGTTGCATAAAATGCCTACCATTTGAAGACAAACTTTCTAGATGGCAATTCTGCAGGGTACAAGTAAGAATAAGCATTTATGTCATCAACCATTGAAGTCATTTTCACTTCTTCAGTGGCACTGAACCCTGCAACAGTGATTAATGCAATGTTGATGAGGAAAACAAACCAAAACAGAAATTGAGCAATCATGTTTCCAAACTGACCTCAACCCATCTCGAAAATAAATAAATAATGCAAGCTTGTCAGTGTCATAAATATATATTGTTGATGTCAATGAATATCATGTAAGGTTTACACAAAATCTAACACATAGGAGAAGAAATGGAAGGAGTGGGAGATATCCCTCCTCTTGTTTAATTGGGTAATAACTAACCGTTTTATAGTAATATTTTTTTAATAGATAAGCTAAGGAGGCTTGAACTTGAGTATTTTTACTGAGGGAATGGGACCTAAGTCATTGGGGTGTCCTATGGAGGGTGACCTTTCCTTCTTGTTTGGTTAGACAATAATTATAAAGGAAAGGGATGTGCATGAACTGAATGAATAACAGAACAGAAATAAGTTTTACTCTTAGCAACTCACAAACTAAGGGGTATACTTTGTAGTAAAAAATTATCTTAATCAAAACCTCCATTTCCCTCCTCTCTATTCAGTTTCTCTTCCCTCCTTAAAAACAATCCAAACATAGTGAATAATAAATATCGACCATTTTCCCCACCTATCCTTCGTTTCTCAAAAACTTTCAATCCAAAGATAGTGTAAGAGAAACTACTAATAAAAATTAGCCCAAAATCATCTCCAATTCTTTTATAAAACTACAAATTTGTCATTATCACTAAATTATAAAATAATAAATTATTCAATATTCTATCGTTATCATCAAGAAATATTACTAACGGTGTGAATTTAGTAATCATTACAAGAATTCAGAAAAAACCCATCTGAAATTTGTCAAAGAGAACAGCCAGTTAACATCCACTATTACACTCACTTATGAACAGCCAGTTAACATCCACTATTACACTCACTTATGAACAGCCAGTTAACATCCACTATTACACTCACTTATGAACAGCCAGTTAACATCCACTATTACACTCACTTATGAACAGCCAGTTAACATCCACTATTACACTCACTTATGAACAGCCAGTTAACATCCACTATTACACTTTCTACAGTGAAGCACCCATTAGAACTATCAATGAGAACACCTATACCCCCTATGTATCATGTTATCAAATTCCACCAACACTTGTATGACACCAATAAATATTAATAAAAACCCAACCAAACACCATACTACAACACTCACGCCAATCCCCAATCAATACAAATATGAGCATGGATTAAAATAAATCAAGTAAACAAGGAAGGAAAATGGTGAAATGCATATGCAAGCTAGTGATTCCACTCGAAACTCAAATGGTGTGATGACTCGCATTTCTGTAATCCACTTGAAACATTCAGGTTTGCTGTAATCAATCAGAAAAAATACTTCAAATCTCCATCAATACATTTATTCCTTAGCATAAGAGATCAAGCCTCTACATAGAAAAAACCCCTAAATCTAGGACAAAAATCAAAACACATTTACTCATTTCATAGAAATCAACATTCTACAGCATCAAAAAACAAAATAAAAACCCTAGAGCTAGAGAGAAATAGAGAAATAGAGAGAGAGAGAGAGAGAACAAAATAAAAAACCTGGAGCTAGAGTGAAATAGGGAGAGAGAGAGAAAGAGAGAGAGAGACCTGAATCAAAATCGATTGGAGGCTGGACGGTGTACCGACCGTGGCGATGAGACGGTGAGACACAGTGAGGAACGGTGATCACTGTCGATGAGAGGGACGATGAGCGATGGGCAATGGTCAGTTGATAAGAGGGAGAGCGATTGGGGATAGAAGAAGGAGAGCAAACGACGGCCTGTTTGTTTTTTGCCATCACAGTACACGAAATCTTATCATCCGTCGCCGCTCGCCCTCGATCGAGAGACAGAGAGAGAGAGAAAAGAGGGGGGAGAAGAGATTAGGGAATTTTTAGGTTTGAGATTGGGGATATTTTTTTTGGGGAGGGGGCGGTGTGGAAGCGGGAATGGGGAAAAAATAAAAGGGGGAGCGGAATGGAAAAAAAATAAAGGGCAGGAATGAAAAATAAAAAATAAA